GTAAATGTGCACAAAGTACATCGGCCCCATGGTTTACGCGCGTAAACATGTTGTTTATTCAAAACTTTGTAAACATAACGCGTGGAGTTGCGCTTGTCATCATTCGCTCATTTATTTTCTTGAAAGCAATATATAATTATGGTCTGCATGATTCTTACTTTTTTCTTTGTTCATCGTTTTTTCACTCTCCTAACTATTATTCGCTAGTTTTTCAGTTTCAAACTCAAGGTAAGTTCAGTTTTTCCAATTCTTTTTAAGGATCATGTCTGCAATCAAAGGTTTGTATCCATGTCATGTTGTCTGATATATTTTACTTTGTTAGGGATGCGTGATACGGTGCTGTCTTCAAGATTTGCGAAAAGTAAGGAAGAGACGAATGAAGCTGACGATGTTTGTTGATTATTTTTTCGATCATTAAGTGTTTTATTCCTAGGTGATCTCACAGTGGAGAGCAACGCACAAAAAACCTCGGCGAGTTATCAAGACAACGTCAGAGACAGGTATCAATTTGTGTTTTCACTCTTTTAAATCGGATGAAATATGATTCAGACAGTTCTCTTGACTGGTTCTATAAAGACGGTCAACACTCATCTATAAACTTGACTAATGTTCCATTTTTAGTAATGGAGAATATCGTTTCGAAAAACACTTCGTCTTCAGTATTAAATGAAATGGAACAGAAGAATGACATCAACATGACAATTGAATCGGGGAAAAGTATGATGAGTATCATATCATCATTTTACACTTTTTTTTCAGTTTATGATCATGAAGTCATCGTTCCTCCCATTATGGATACTTCGAGTAGCGAAAAAAACGATGGAATAACCCATTTATCGGAAGCTGAACCAGCAAAAAAAGAAAAAAGGATGAATGCTAAAAGCATGCGCAATAAGCCAAATGAAGATGAAGCATCACAAAAGACGGTCAATAGTAAGCTTGCATACAATGAGGTATCTTTTTTAATAAATTTTCAGATAAAAATCGTAAGAAGGATTCAGCTCTTCCCGAGATACCTCAAATAGAAAGGCGCGTTACAAGAAGTATGACAGCTGGAAATAGGAAAGATACAAAGGCTGAACCTGTTAAAACAGATAAAAGTAGTAAGAAATCCTGCATTAAAGCTTATTAGAAACATCTCCTCATACAGTAACTAAAAAAGCTCCAAAGAATCCACCTGCAAAGAAAGAAAGTCGGCGGACCCTTTCAAAATCAGAATCTCAAAAAAAAGACAATCAGATGACAGAAGCAGGTGTGAATGAACAGTGTATTTTCATTTTTTCTGTTATAGTACTGACTCAAAGCAATTGGAGAACTTCGAAGGGTACTAGAACCAGGAAAAGCGCTGCAATATCAGTGGAATCTGAAGTAGAAGAAGTAGGAAAGCGAGTAACTAGAAGTAGAGCAAGCATCCAGCCAACTCAAGCAGTAAAAGAGAAAAAATTGTCAAATCCAAGAAGTAATGATACTTTAGAATCTTTTTTAAATTCAAATTTAGGAAAAAAAACTCAACGCGATGAAGTTAATAATCTTGAGTTACCTCTAGATTCTTCCGAAAATAATTTAGCAGGAGAGGGCTTGGCTCTCAATAAAGAAGAAATTTTATTGGAAAAACCTGCAAAAGTGCATCAAGAAACTCAAACCAATCTTTTCAGTACGTTTAGGTTTCATCGTGTTTGTCTTATCAATGTTGATCTGTTTAGATATGTCCGAAAATCAAAAGAATTCAGAAGAATCTATGAGTTCTTCTAACTCGGAATTGCCAGAGTTGATCGAGGAGTCTAATGACCTGCACTATACCATAGATGAAGGAACGCAGACCGAATTTCCGTCGATGAATGATACTAACGGTATACTAAAAGCCTCTGTATGTCTCAATTACTTTTTTCAGTGTGTTATTCTGACTCAATCAGAGTTTTTGATAATTACAGTACTCCATATAATCCTAAAAGTGCAGGAAGAAATCAAAATTCTAACTCTTCTGAAAGGGAACAATGGCATAAACGAGAGAAACCCGTGAATCTAGAAATATTACCGGATGTCATCTTCACTCCTATTCCAAAAAAAGCGAAAAAAGTCAGAAGAACCGGTGAATCAGCGTCAAGTGTTGTGGATGCATTGGATCAAACTGGATACAATGAGAATCCTATAACTGAGAACTCAAGAAAAGGTTATTGTTGAAAACAATACTTTTCGAAAAATTAAGTTCAGGCTGCTCTGTTATCATGACATCGATTGAAGACAACAGTGGTTTACAAGCAACAAAGGAAAAAACATTTGATCTATTTGGAGCTTCATTTGTTGAGAAAAGTGGCTGGGAAGAAAGATTAGCAGTGAATGCAAAAATTATTCTTTCCACGTCAACTTTGAAAGACAGTCACATCGCTGACAATAGAAATGAAGAGGGAGAAAGTTCGTTAGTATTCTAGCACTTCATAGAAGGTTCAATTTCAGAGACTGACCAATTGCCAGATATCTTGAAGAATACAGCCTTAAACTCTCCTTTACAAACAAGTGTGAACACTCTGAAAGTGAAAAAGATCAAAAATAATATAAAGAGTGGGAATAACCTTGGAACAAGTAAGAACGGTGTGTTATAAGCATGAAAGATAACTGATAATCATCCACAGGTTCAATATTGGAAGTTTCCGCAAATGATTGTTTGCCATCTCTACATGATAAAACATTCGATTTGTTCGGAAGTTCGTTTGTTGAGAGTAGCGATTGGATGGAGAAGATTGGTCTTACGAACCACAACAACTCTTCGATTGTTAAGAACCCTCTAGTTACTGATAAAAGAGTTGATCAGTTGGAAAGTTCAACTGTTGATGAAAACGATTGGAGAGAAGTTAATCTATCAAACAGATCCTCTACTCCTAAGAGATACAGTGGAGTAACTGGAGTTCACGATTCTCCTGATGATAACCATGAGAATGTGACAAACTCCGATGAGGAAGAAACTTTTTCTGTTTGCGAAGAAGTTGAAACGGAAAAAATCGGTAAGTATCCAATCTTAAAGAATGTCTCATATGCATCATTACAGAAAACTTATCTGAAGAAACTATGGATAAAAATGATAGTATGAAGTCCATTGAAAAACTATTTCACGAATCGAATGATGCACTCAACGATAAAAACCAAACCGGTCAAAATGGTACAACGGAAGCTTAGCTTGGACCTTATCATTGTATTTGTCATTTGCAGAAAACAATTATGATTTGGAATGCGATATGAACTCTCTCCGACTCACTACAAGCGATATGGATATTGCTGATGAATCCAGCAAAGTTGAAACAGAATCTCCGATAGTACGGCTTCAAGGTTTCCACGAGTTGTCAGAGATGATTTTATAGATGAATTTCAGAGCATTTAACTAATACCTTCTATAATGAGTTTTGGAAACATCTCGCAAGAAGTAAGAGAAAGAGAAGCAAATTTGTCATGACCATGATAATGGAAGAAGATGAACCCACTTGCTTGAGTTTTGGACGAAGCGAGAATGGTATATCCCAAATAGTGCAAATCTGTTTTGATAATTGATATTCAGAGATATCCATAAATACATCATGCATATCAAACATACTGCTTTCTTCTACCATCCAAGATCAAACGATCACGATTGACGTTACCAGGCGGAAAAGTCAAATGATGTCTTATATTGATGAAGGAAGGGCTGAGAATAGTTGTAAGCTCATTGGCAGAAGTTATTCTAATCAATACATTAAGATTGCATCACGACTTCATGTCTGGAAGACGAATTATCAAGACTATACATAACTAATGCTCTCGTGAAAGACGAAGTTTGGAGTTTGAAAAGTAGTTTTTAAATAATCTTTTGTGTATCATATGACATGGATGTGTTTTTCAGAGAGTCAACCTACAGTTGATCCTTACATGATTTCCCCTGTATTAAACACTACAATCACTGTAGATGTCAGTAGAAGAAAAAGTAGTTTAATTATATCTGAATTGGAATATGCATTCAACGAAGATATCGGTAATAACCTTTTGAGTTCATATCCAAGAAATTAACTGCAGGCGGCTCTTTCAACTCGAGTGTCGTCTCAGACAGAAACAGAACACAAACTCTGCTTGGTAGAACGTTCACCCTGCTCGGTAACTCTCTGATTGAGAATGAGAATGACAAAACGAAGGGTATACTTTGCTTTTAACTATTTAAAGAATGATAGCAAGTTTTCTCATAGATTACACCCATGATTCCTGTCAACTTCGCAATACTTTCACAATTTCTCCAATTATGAACAACACTGTTACAATTGATACAACTGGAAGAAAGAGTTCACTCAAAGCTGTTAACGATTTTACTCGTAGAAGTGGTAACTAATTGGTATGAAGAATTTCCTGATAAGTTATTTACTTAGACTACTCCACCGCAACCAATGTGGATAATGAGAAATCATTCGACCCATCAAGGTGTTCGCTTGATGATGAAGATGACGATTGGGACTTGAAAGGTACCTAAAAGATTGTTGTTGATTGAATTCTCTTTCAGATATGCCTGGAAATCTCAATTATAATGTCGATCCGATTGCCATATCTCCTATTCTCGATAGCACCATAACTGTTGATGTCACCCGAAGAAAAAATAATGTTCTGATGTCTCGATTTGATGAAGACTCAATGCAAGAGAGCGGTATACTGAGCTTCCATTTTTTCCCTAAAGGCAAAGTTTAAGACTGCACTTCTGACATGGCAATGATAGAGAATAAAACATTCAGCGCAAATGCAGATACAGAAGTATCTCATCTAACTGAACAACAAAGTGATTTTAACGTCCGTGATCTAGTTAACTGAATTTCAGAGCAAAAAACTAAATCTACTGAAGAACCAGTCGTCCTTTCACCTATTCTTAATAATACCATCGTATTAGATGCTACCTGCAATGATGTTGTTTCAATAGTTATACCACCGGAACACATGGACAAAACTGTTGTGCGAACCCCCAAAGTTGTGAGCAGTACTAGTCCACAGATAGAATTATCTTATTTTGATCAAGGTGAGCTCTGCAATTTCTGGATAAAATGATAAAACAACTTCAGTGATGGAATGC